AGTGTCTCTACTTTAAAGAGTCCTCTCCTGCTGATGTTCAGGTGTATATCAGTATGTAGTGTCTCTACTTTAAAGAGTTCTCTCCTGCTGATGTTCAGGTGTATATCAGTATGTAGTGTCTCTACTTTAAAGAGTCCTCTCCTGCTGATGTTCAGGTGTATATCAGTATGTTAGTGTCTCTACTTTAAAGAGTCCTCTCCTGCTGATGTTCAGGTGTATATCAGTATGTAGTGTCTCTACTTTAAAGAGTTCTCTCCTGCTGATGTTCAGGTGTATATCAGTATGTAGTGTCTCTACTTTAAAGAGTCCTCTCCTGCTGATGTTCAGGTGTATATCAGTATGTAGTGTCTCTACTTTAAAGAGTCCTCTCCTGCTGATGTTCAGGTGTATATCAGTATGTAGTGCCTCTACTTTAAAGAGTCCTCTCCTGCTGATGTTCAGGTGTATATCAGTATGTAGTGTCTCTACTTTAAAGAGTCCTCTCCTGCTGATGTTCAGGTGTATATCAGTATGTAGTGTCTCTACTTTAAAGAGTCCTCTCCTGCTGATGTTCAGGTGTATATCAGTATGTAGTGTCTCTACTTTAAAGAGTCCTCTCCTGCTGATGTTCAGGTGTATATCAGTATGTAGTGTCTCTACTTTAAAGAGTTCTCTCCTGCTGATGTTCAGGTGTATATCAGTATGTAGTGTCTCTACTTTAAAGAGTCCTCTCCTGCTGATGTTCAGGTGTATATCAGTATGTAGTGTCTCTACTTTAAAGAGTCCTCTCCTGCTGATGTTCAGGTGTATATCAGTATGTAGTGTCTCTACTTTAAAGAGTCCTCTCCTGCTGATGTTCAGGTGTATATCAGTATGTAGTGTCTCTACTTTAAAGAGTTCTCTCCTGCTGATGTTCAGGTGTATATCAGTATGTAGTGTCTCTACTTTAAAGAGTCCTCTCCTGCTGATGTTCAGGTGTATATCAGTATGTAGTGTCTCTACTTTAAAGAGTCCTCTCCTGCTGATGTTCAGGTGTATATCAGTATGTAGTGTCTCTACTTTAAAGAGTTCTCTCCTGCTGATGTTCAGGTGTATATCAGTATGTAGTGTCTCTACTTTAAAGAGTCCTCTCCTGCTGATGTTCAGGTGTATATCAGTATGTAGTGTCTCTACTTTAAAGAGTCCTCTCCTGCTGATGTTCAGGTGTATATCAGTATGTAGTGCCTCTACTTTAAAGAGTCCTCTCCTGCTGATGTTCAGGTGTATATCAGTATGTAGTGTCTCTACTTTAAAGAGTCCTCTCCTGCTGATGTTCAGGTGTATATCAGTATGTAGTGTCTCTACTTTAAAGAGTCCTCTCCTGCTGATGTTCAGGTGTATATCAGTATGTAGTGTCTCTACTTTAAAGAGTCCTCTCCTGCTGATGTTCAGGTGTATATCAGTATGTAGTGTCTCTACTTTAAAGAGTCCTCTCCTGCTGATGTTCAGGTGTATATCAGTATGGAGTGTCTCTACTTTAAAGAGTCCTCTCCTGCTGATGTTCAGGTGTATATCAGTATGTAGTGTCTCTACTTTAAAGAGTCCTCTCCTGCTGATGTTCAGGTGTATATCAGTATGTAGTGTCTCTACTTTAAAGAGTCCTCTCCTGCTGATGTTCAGGTGTATATCAGTATGTAGTGTCTCTACTTTAAAGAGTCCTCTCCTGCTGATGTTCAGGTGTATATCAGTATGTAGTGTCTCTACTTTAAAGAGTCCTCTCCTGCTGATGTTCAGGTGTATATCAGTATGTAGTGTCTCTACTTTAAAGAGTCCTCTCCTGCTGATGTTCAGGTGTATATCAGTATGCAGTGCCTCTACTTTAAAGAGTCCTCTCCTGCTGATGTTCAGGTGTATATCAGTATGTAGTGTCTCTACTTTAAAGAGTCCTCTCCTGCTGATGTTCAGGTGTATATCAGTATGTAGTGCCTCTACTTTAAAGAGTCCTCTCCTGCTGATGTTCAGGTGTATATCAGTATGTAGTGCCTCTACTTTAAAGAGTCCTCTCCTGCTGATGTTCAGGTGTATATCAGTATGTAGTGTCTCTACTTTAAAGAGTCCTCTCCTGCTGATGTTCAGGTGTATATCAGTATGTAGTCTCTTTGCCTTTTAAGCCTTTTCAGACCATTAACATGCACTAAAACCTACATAGCACACTACAGGAGAAGGGAGAACCCCTAAAAGCACAATAGGGCCTTTTTAAGAGTTTAACAGGTAGGAAAGAAATTAAAATAAATCACACAATACATCATTTTTCTTTGGAGAATTATTTGAAAGATAGACAAACAAAATAAAAAGACGTACTGCTTCATCCCTCTTCACTTCAACAGCAGGACAATCAAACATAATGATATACTTTTGTAGTTAGTACATTTCAAAAAGAGCCTCCATCGTGTCAGACTGTTATGTTAAAGCTTAACGTTACAGCAGAGACACATATTGGGCCGAGCACAATCTCAGTAAAGAAAAGATAATAAACCAACACCATAATAATAAGATGATGTTGAGATGTACCTACATAAATACATAAATTCAGATCTAATACATTTTGAAATATTTTCTTTGGAGAGTTATTTTAAAGATGGACTTGCTCTTAAATCCAAAATAAAAAAAAGCAGGCAAATAAAAACAACATGAGACACGGTTGATGTTAGTACTCACTTTAAAAAAGCTTAAATAAAACCTTTAACCTTACAGTATGATGCATGTTTCATTACAAATCGCTGCTCTTTGCACAATCCCAGTTCAAAAATACAATAATCCAGCCGTGGTTTGCTGCTAACGTCACTGAGGTACGTCCCGCTAGCGTCTGTGTCACTGAGGTACGTCCCGCTAGCGTCTGTGTCACTGAGGTACGTCCCGCTAGCGTCTGTGTCACTGAGGTACGTCCCGCTAGCGTCTGTGTCACTGAGGTACGTCCCGCTAGCGTCTGTGTCACTGAGGTACGTCCCGCTAGCGTCTGTGTCACTGAGGTACGTCCCGCTAGCGTCTGTGTCACTGAGGTACGTCCCGCTAGCGTCTGTGTCACTGAGGTACGTCCCGCTAGCGTCTGTGTCACTGAGGTACGTCCCGCTAACGTCTGTGTCACTGAGGTACGTCTTGCTAACGTCTGTGTCACTGAGGTACGTCTTGCTAACGTCTGTGTCACTGAGGTACGTCTTGCTAACGTCTGTGTCACCGAGGTACGTCCCGCTAGCGTCTGTGTCACTGAGGTACGTCCTGCTAACGTCTGTGTCACTGAGGTACGTCTTGCTAACGTCTGTGTCACTGAGGTACGTCTTGCTAACGTCTGTGTCACCGAGGTACGTCCCGCTAGCGTCTGTGTCACTGAGGTACGTCCTGCTAACGTCTGTGTCACTGAGGTACGTCTTGCTAACGTCTGTGTCACTGAGGTACGTCTTGCTAACGTCTGTGTCACTGAGGTACGTCCTGCTAACGTCTGTGTCGCTGAGGTACGTCTTGCTAACGTCTGTGTCACTGAGGTACGTCTTGCTAACGTCTGTGTCGCTGAGGTACGTCTTGCTAACGTCTGTGTCACTGAGGTACGTCCCGCTAACGTCTGTGTCACTGAGGTACGTCTTGCTAACGTCTGTGTCACTGAGGTACGTCTTGCTAACGTCTGTGTCGCTGAGGTACGTCCCGCTAACGTCTGTGTCACTGACGTACGTCTTGCTAACGTCTGTGTCACCGAGGTACGTCCCGCTAGCGTCTGTGTCACTGAGGTACGTCCTGCTAACGTCTGTGTCACTGAGGTACGTCTTGCTAACGTCTGTGTCACTGAGGTACGTCTTGCTAACGTCTGTGTCACTGAGGTACGTCCTGCTAACGTCTGTGTCGCTGAGGTACGTCTTGCTAACGTCTGTGTCGCTGAGGTACGTCTTGCTAACGTCTGTGTCACTGAGGTACGTCCTGCTAACGTCTGTGTCACTGAGGTACGTCCCGCTAACGTCTGTGTCACTGAGGTACGTCCCGCTAGCGTCTGTGTCACTGAGGTACGTCCCGCTAACGTCTGTGTCACCGAGGTACGTCTTGCTAACGTCTGTGTCACCGAGGTACGTCTTGCTAACGTCTGTGTCACCGAGGTACGTCCTGCTAACGTCTGTGTCACTGAGGTACGTCCCGCTAACGTCTGTGTCACTGAGGTACGTCCCGCTAGCGTCTGTGTCACTGAGGTACGTCCCGCTAACGTCTGTGTCACTGAGGTACGTCCCGCTAACGTCTGTGTCACCGAGGTACGTCTTGCTAACGTCTGTGTCACTGAGGTACGTCCCGCTAGCGTCTGTGTCACTGAGGTACGTCCCACTAACGTCTGTGTCACTGAGGTACGTCCCGCTAACGTCTGTGTCAGAGGTACGTCCTGCTAAATGCCGTCTGAAAGCATCCCGAGGTTTTTTAATCCACTCTCTTTTAAATCAGTTCTTGTTGAGACGTACGGTGGCCCACAGCGCGCTACAACGACCCAGAACATTTCCAATAAGAGAAACAGGCTGCAGCTGTTCAATCCCCAGGAGCAATTTGGGGTGAAGTGTCTCAGGGACATGCTGACTGCAGTGGGGTTTGAACCTGTGACCCCCTGGTCCGAACACCTACGCACAACCCACTGCGCCACACGCCTCCACGCTACATGATTCCTTCTGATAGTATTTTAAGTGTCCCCCTGAAGCATGGTGTTCATGGGTAAAGTTGTTGTTTCTTCATTTGCGTGTGAACCACATTTGTTTTTTAAGTAGAGCGCGTTTCTCCTAATGGAAGTGTTTGGGTCGTTGGAGCACGATGTTTAATAAGAACTGGATACAGCGTGGGAGGCGGGGTCTCGTTCTTTCCTATGAGAGCTGCTCATTGGCTCATGAGGACAACATGGCCCAACTTTTGAGAGAGCGACACGTCACAGATTACCCAGCATGCCTAGCTGTCAGAGCAGAAGAACCCGTATGTGCGCTCACAGAGCATGCGCCCCTTAAGCCCCGCCCCCTGAGCTCCCACTCTCGGCTCACTAGAATGAATGGAGACAGAAAATAAATCTAGATTTGGCTTTTAGTGCATTTTACAACTTTAAAGACCGAATGATTCTAATAAGGGCTATCACAGAGTGCATTCTGGGTACTTTATTTAGTTTAAAAAAAAGTATCCGCTGATTTACAGACGTCTCTTTCCCGATGTTAGTCAATGGGGGAAAGTCTTTCTGGTCCAGTGACGTCACGGACTGATACGGAAGGTGTAGTACCGCCGTTTGGACACAACGAATATTTTCCTCAGAGTCCGGCGCACTTCCTGGGGGCTTGGTTTGCACCTGTGGGCCACCGTACAGATGCACCTGATGATAAAGATGTTTCTCTGCAAATCAATCAATATTTCTACGCTTCCTATTCCCGCTTCGTGCAGCAACAATCTTTGCTCGTTCCTTTTCTGCTGCAGTCTTGAAACACGATGAAACATTTCTTTGATTCTAAAAAAAACAAACATTTGGGGAGGTTTTCGCTTGAATGCAAAATCCAGATTTCATACATTTTCTTTTTATATCTTTGGCGAGTTTTGTTTAAGATGGACAAGAACAATAAACATACTTACTGCTTCCTCCCTCTGCATTTCACCAGCAGGCAAACAAATACCATGAAACACTTTGGATGTTAGTTTTGAAATGTAACAATGATCCCCAAAACAATAACATAATACAGCCGTGGCTTGGTGCTGAAGTCCGTGTCCGAGCACTGAGGCTTCTCCTGCTAAAGTCCGAGCGCTGAGGCTTCTCCTGCTAAAGTCCGTGTCCGAGCGCTGAGGCTTCTCCTGCTAAAGTCCGAGCGCTGAGGCTTCTCCTGCTAAAGTCCGTGTCCGAGCGCTGAGGCTTCTCCTGCTAAAGTCCGAGCGCTGAGGCTTCTCCTGCTAAAGTCCGAGCGCTGAGGCTTCTCCTGCTAAAGTCCGAGCGCTGAGGCTTCTCCTGCTAAAGTCCGAGCGCTGAGGCTTCTCCTGCTAAAGTCCGAGCGCTGAGGCTTCTCCTGCTAAAGTCCGTGTCCGAGCGCTGAGGCTTCTCCTGCTAAAGTCCGAGCGCTGAGGCTTCTCCTGCTAAAGTCCGAGCGCTGAGGCTTCTCCTGCTAAAGTCCGAGCGCTGAGGCTTCTCCTGCTAAAGTCCGAGCGCTGAGGCTTCTCCTGCTAAAGTCCGTGTCCGAGCGCTGAGGCTTCTCCTGCTAAAGTCTGTGTCCGAGCGCTGAGGCTTCTCCTGCTAAAGTCCGAGCGCTGAGGCTTCTCCTGCTAAAGTCCGAGCGCTGAGGCTTCTCCTGCTAAAGTCCGAGCGCTGAGGCTTCTCCTGCTAAAGTCCGTGTCCGAGCGCTGAGGCTTCTCCTGCTAAAGTCCGAGCGCTGAGGCTTCTCCTGCTAAAGTCCGAGCGCTGAGGCTTCTCCTGCTAAAGTCCGTGTCCGAGCACTGAGGCTTCTCCTGCTAAAGTCCGTGTCCGAGCGCTGAGGCTTCTCCTGCTAAAGTCCGTGTCCGAGCGCTGAGGCTTCTCCTGCTAAAAGTCCATAAATTAAAAGTTTGAAAACCATCCGAAGGTTTTTGTAAATCAGCAGTTGTATCGTTGAGATGTACCTGATAATAATAAAGAAGTTTCTCGTATCCCAGGTCGTGGTTTCCTTTTGCTTTAAAGGAGAGTCTGGAACCACGACCAGCACTTACGTAGAAAGCGATCGGAGCGTCATCGCGGGATGGGTGTCTAAGTGAGGAGGCACCAGGGCGTCAGGTCCGTGTCGCATTGCAGGCGCACGCTGATGACGGTGCACGGAGCGCCGCTGATGCTCAGGTCCCGCCTCGACTCCACCTCGTACCGCAGGTTCGACAGACCCCCCTCCGGATCCACCTTAAACTGCTCCTGCAGGGGGAGGGGGAGGGGGAGGAAGAGGGGGAGGGGGACGAAGAGGGGGAGGGGGAGGGGGAGGAAGAGGGGGAGGAAGAGTTAAGATAATTTATTTAAATGTTTTTTATTTTTATGAGTATTTTGTTTCTTTTATTACACATTTTTCATATATATGTTTATGGCTATTTTATTTCAGAGAATTTAGAGTTTTACATTTTATTTAGACTTTATTTAATATATTTTTCTTATACTTTTATATAAATAAAAGTATATAATAGATTGTTCACACAGGTGTGATTATGAATATTATTTTCTTTAACATTTTTTATCCTTGATTCAATAATTTATAACTTAAAGATTGATTTATGACACAGATTAAGGAATATTAGGATTTTTTAGACCAATGAATTCAATGCTTTTTAACGATATATAATATTATATTTTTCTTATAACACAGAGAGCGATGCAGCGGAGTTGATCTCTGAGTTACAGCCAACAGATTTATTTATTAAAATGTTTGTTTTTTATTATTTCTGGTGAGTTTTAAGCAGCTTTCCTGATTTTGTTTTACTGTTTAAAATATATATTTTTTTAAATCAACAGATTACAAGACGAGCGGGCTTTCAGTGTTATAAGATTTTTGAATAAACTTAAATAGATGTTTTTAATGCCACTAAAGATGACATTAGCCGCTTTCACACCAAGTACTTTGCCGCACTTAGTTCCCAGCACTTAGTTCCCAGCACTTAGTTCCCAGCACTTGGTTCCCAGCACTTGGTTCCCAGCACTTGGTTCCCAGCACTTGGTTCCCAGCACTTGGTTCCCAGCACTTGGTACCCAGCACTTGGTACCCAGCACTTGGTTCCCAGCACTTGGTTCCCAGCACTTGGTTCCCAGCACTTGGTTCCCAGCACTTAGTACCCAGCACTTAGTAGCCAGCACTTAGTGCCCCCATGGAACAAAAGAGCTGATCGCGTTCACACCGGAATAAGTTCCCTGAGGGAAGATTACTCAAATGAAGCCGCTGACGTCACTTCGTCTTCTTCTGCTTTGGGTTTACTGGCAGGCCGCAAACCACTTCACGGCGTATACTGCCACCCGGAGTCCCCGGCCGGAAGTCCCCGGAGTTGGGGACTGGCTTCAGTAGAAGCTGCTGGGACTCCCAGCAGCTTCTACTGAAGCCTTCTGAGTAAGTTAGTCTCTCTCCGTTGGTGCGCGGGGCTAATGCTAATGCTAATAATGCTAATCCCAGCAAATAAAATGGCGGCTTCACAAAACATTTCCGAGTTTTACGGGGCGTGGTTTGCAATTCGACCCAGCCAATCAGAAATTGGTACTTTTTCTCCCCAGGATAGTACCACCTCTCTAGCAGGCACTACAAGTGGGGGTAAAAGTTCTCTGAACTAAGTTCTCTTGTTGGTGTGAACGCAAAATTCCAGGCACTAAACGGGAAAAGTACGGGGAAAAGTACTCCGGTGTGAAAGCGCCTATTTAAGACTAAAAACCTTTCTTAAAAAAAAAAAACCCTTTCTATTACGCCTCTTGTAGCACTTTGGGATTACTTTTAGCAATGAAAGGTGTTTTATAACATTTATTATTATTATTATTATTTTGAGAGATACATTTGCACTTTTCTTGTACCTGTTTCTGAGAGGCGACTCTCTTCTGGTCTCTTTTCCTCCAGGCCGAGTCGTGGATGTGGAGAAATGTTTTATATCCCGTCGTGATGCCGCTCGGCCTGAAGAGCTGAGAAAACAACACAAATATCTTAAAGAATGAACACTAAATGCACCTTAAATCACTAAATGCACCTTAAATCACTAAATGCACCTTAAATCACTAAATGCACCTTAAATCACAAAATGCACCTTAAATCACAAAATGCACCTTAAATCACTAAATGCACCTTAAATCACAAAATGCACCTTAAATCACTAAATGCACCTTAAATCACTAAATGCACCTTAAATCACTAAATGCACCTTAAATCACAAAATGCACCTTAAATCACTAAATGCACCTTAAATCACTAAATGCACCTTAAATCACTAAATGCACCTTAAATCACTAAATGCACCTTAAATCACTAAATGCACCTTAAATCACTAAATGCACCTTAAATCACTAAAGGAAGCCTTGGTTTTATCATAAAAACTGAGACAAACATGTTGTCAGCTGTTTTTAGCTTTAATATATCATTGCCTCTCTGATCAATTCTCCTCCAATGTTACAGCAATGTCAGAACAATATCCTTGTTTCCACCAAAACCAATACAACACAAGTGTGCTCAGTGGCTCTCCTTGGTGCACTCCCTGAAGGGGTCGCTGGCAGAGGGAACGCATATTTGCTGCAAATCCTTTTAGCGGCAGCCCTCAAGTGCGTCACCTGTAGATGGTTAACACCTGAACCTCCAACGTATAACGATTGGATCCAGACGTTTTGGGAGTTATACGAAATGGAGGAAATCACATATGCCTTACGGCTTCAGAAACCGACATTTTTAAAAGAGATGGAGGCGTGTAATGCCCCTGCTAGTATACACTCCATACAGTATGACCACGGTCAAGTCCCCTAAACTTACCATCTTGATTCATTTGTTTATTCTTTTCTCCCCTTAATTGTTATTATTTATGACTATGCACGTTTTCTTCTTGTTTTCTTTTGGTCTTGTCAATTATCTCTGTATTGGTTTCGCACGACGACCAGTCTGTGTACACTGGCCTACAGGGTGGTCTATAGGGTGGTCCTTAGTGCCATGTGCATTTTCAAATTCATTTATTTTAAGCTCCAACCACTGGAATTCATTCTATTAGTCAAGAAAACTCTCCTGGTGAATTTTATTCAAGTTCCAACAACATGTACCCCTCGCTCATCAACCTTGAAGTTGAGCCTCACGTAGGGTGGTCCTTAACATTGAAAGTGGGAAAGTCTAAGCTCCAACCCCCAGAATTCATTCTATTAGTTAAGAAAACTCTCCTGGTGAATGTGGGGGCTGGAGCTTAGACTTTCCCACTTTCTATGTTAAGGACCACCCTACTGGCCTACTAGTAAGGTCTCATTTTCGATACAGAAAGATTGTAAGACAATTCTCTCTCACTCGCCCTTTTTTGCAATAAGCAAGGGCGCAAGATACCCCCAGCTAAACCAATCGGTTGCATCTCATCCCCACAGCCAATCACAGCACACCCGGCAAACGTTTCAATCTGCTCTTTCTCTCCCCTGCCAGCATCGTTCAGGAGAATTGATGCAACCCTCCTCCTCCTCCTCCTCCTCCTCCTCCTCCTCCTCCTCCTCCTCCTCCACCTCCTCCACCACCTCCTCCTCCTCCTCCTCCTCCTCCTCCTCCTCCTCCTCCTCCTCCTCCTCCTCCTCCACCTCCTCCACCTCCTCCACCTCCTCCTCCTCCATCAGATCCATTAGTACCCACCACCAGTGTCGAGACCCCGGGGGGTTCCTCTTTTCTAGTCGGCTTCTCCTCCCCCTTCATTCATCACAGTATGATGGGGTCTAATCTCAAAAACGTTATTGTTCATACGGCAATAAATATGTTATCAACTACGAGCTAAGTCTCTCCTGATTGGAATAAAATCCACATGTTGATGTTCTACCTGTAACTCTGCTTTCCTCAGTCTTCTGTAGAACTCGTCGTCTTCTCGTCCCCAACCCCAGAACCTGTTCGACATCCCGTTGCACTGGAAACAACAAAATGAAAAGTTATTGTATTTCTTCATCAGAGAAAACAAGGTAGTCTTTGTGCCGATGAGAGATGGTGATTCAGCAGAAAACCTTCTTCCCCTTTCGCCTTGTATTTTAGGGAAGTCGACGTTAACGGTTATTGCTCAAGATTAAGGTTTTGCTCAATCTCAAAAACCTTAATAAATCATTATATATTTATATTTCTGTCATTCTTTTTCTGTCAGATTTTGTTTTAAATGTGCAAATCAATTATTTTATTTGTGCAGTACCATTAATATGTTGAATAAATAAGAATACAAGCCTTAATAAATATATGTTTACATACATGTCAGTAATTATTTTTCTGTCCGATTTTTTTGCAACATGTTTGGGAATAATCAATATTTTATTTTGAATTATTATGTACATATTATCCTATTTATTTATATTATTAAACAATAATACATGTATTTCTTTAGCTGTTGGATTTAAGTTAAAGGTCCCCTATTATACTGTTTTTCATCAATATATCACAGGTCTCAGATATATACAGAGCCTGTCTCTGATTGGCTGAAACACCAAACAGATCATTGCAGCATTACCCATAATCCCCTCTGTTTCAGCCCTGTTTCCAAAGTGCTGATTCTCTGTCTGTTACTTTAGATGAAAATAAGGAGCCCCTCCCCACGCCCCTCTGAGAGACATTTGGTTACAAAGAACTCAATGGTGCTCTAGGAGGAGATTCACGTGATAAGGGGGGGGGGGGGGTTACCTTGGTTGCTGATTGGCTAATGGTTACACAAGACAAAACATCGTTATGACATCATGAAGTGGCCAAAATCTGATCAGCTCATTTTCAGACAGGTTTTTATAGAAATGGATCAAAAAGAGAGAAAATCTTTGTTCCTGAAACTTTCAGAGTCTCTCTACACAGAGGGGACACATGTTGATGAAGAAGAGACATGAAGAAGAGGGGACACATGTTGATGAAGAAGAGACATGAAGAAGAGGGGACACATGTTGATGAAGAAGAGACATGAAGAAGAGGGGACACATGTTGATGAAGAAGAGACATGAAGAAGAGGGGACACATGTTGATGAAGAAGAGACATGAAGAAGAGGGGACACATGTTGATGAAGAAGAGACATGAAGAAGAGGGGACACATGTTGATGTAGAAGAGACATGAAGAAGAGGGGACACATGTTGATGTAGAAGAGACATGAAGAAGAGGGGACACATGTTGATGAAGAAGAGACATGAAGAAGAGGGGACACATGTTGATGAAGAAGAGACATGAAGAAGAGGGGACACATGTTGATGAAGAAGAGACATGAAGAAGAGGGGACACATGTTGATGAAGAAGAGACATGAAGAAGAGGGGACACATGTTGATGAAGAAGAGACATGAAGAAGAGGGGACACATGTTGATGAAGAAGAGACATGAAGAAGAGGGGACACATGTTGATGAAGAAGAGACATGAAGAAGAGGGGACACATGTTGATGTAGAAGAGACATGAAGAAGAGGGGACACATGTTGATGTAGAAGAGACATGAAGAAGAGGGGACACATGTTGATGAAGAAGAGACATGCAGAAGAGGGGACACATGTTGATGAAGAAGAGACATGAAGAAGAGGGGACACATGTTGATGAAGAAGAGACATGAAGAAGAGGGGACACATGTTGATGTAGAAGAGACATGAAGAAGAGGGGACACATGTTGATGTAGAAGAGACATGAAGAAGAGGGGACACATGTTGATGAAGAAGAGACATGAAGAAGAGGGGACACATGTTGATGAAGAAGAGACATGAAGAAGAGGGGACACATGTTGATGTAGAAGAGACATGAAGAAGAGGGGACACATGTTGATGTAGAAGAGACATGAAGAAGAGGGGACACATGTTGATGAAGAAGAGACATGAAGAAGAGGGGACACATGTTGATGTAGAAGAGACATGAAGAAGAGGGGACACATGTTGATGAAGAAGAGACATGAAGAAGAGGGGACACATGTTGATGTAGAAGAGACATGAAGAAGAGGGGACACATGTTGATGTAGAAGAGACATGAAGAAGAGGGGACACATGTTGATGTAGAAGAGACATGAAGAAGAGGGGACACATGTTGATGAAGAAGAGACATGAAGAAGAGGGGACACATGTTGATGAAGAAGAGACATGAAGAAGAGGGGACACATGTTGATGTAGAAGAGACATGAAGAAGAGGGGACACATGTTGATGAAGAAGAGACATGAAGAAGAGGGGACACATGTTGATGAAGAAGAGACATGAAGAAGAGGGGACACATGTTGATGAAGAAGAGACATGAAGAAGAGGGGACACATGTTGATGAAGAAGAGACATGAAGAAGAAGGGACACATGTTGATGAAGAAGAGACATGAAGAAGAGGGGACACATGTTGATGAAGAAGAGACATGAAGAAGAGGGGACACATGTTGATGAAGAAGAGACATGAAGAAGAGGGGACACATGTTGATGAAGAAGAGACATGAAGAAGAGGGGACACATGTTGATGTAGAAGAGACATGAAGAAGAGGGGACACATGTTGATGTAGAAGAGACATGAAGAAGAGGGGACACATGTTGATGTATAAGAGACATGAAGAAGAGGGGACACATGTTGATGAAGAAGAGACATGAAGAAGAGGGGACACATGTTGATGTAGAAGAGACATGAAGAAGAGGGGACACATGTTGATGTAGAAGAGACATGAAGAAGAGGGGACAATGTTGATGTAGAAGAGACATGAAGAAGAGGGGACACATGTCGATGTAGAAGAGACATGAAGAACCTTTAAGTGACTTCAACGTAAACTGTATATCCCTGTGTGTGTTCAGTACCATGTGGTAGTGCTTCTTGTATATCCCTGTGTGTGTTCAGTACCATGTGGTAGTGTTTCTTGTATATCCCTGTGTGTGTGTTCAGTACCATGTGGTAGTGCTTCTTGTATATCCCTGTGTGTGTTCAGTACCATGTGGTAGTGCTTCTTGTATATCCCTGTGTGTGTTCAGTACCATGTGGTAGTGTTTCTTGTATATCCCTGTGTGTGTTCAGTACCATGTGGTAGTGTTTCTTGTATATCCCTGTGTGTGTTCAGTACCATGTGGTAGTGCTTCTTGTATATCCCTGTGTGTGTTCAGTACCATGTGGTAGTGCTTCTTGTATATCCCTGTGTGTGTTCAGTACCATGTGGTAGTGTTTCTTGTATATCCCTGTGTGTGTTCAGTACCATGTGGTAGTGTTTCTTGTATATCCCTGTGTGTGTTCAGTACCATGTGGTAGTGTTTCTTGTATATCCCTGTGTGTGTTCAGTACCATGTGGTAGTGCTTCTTGTATATCCCTGTGTGTGTTCAGTACCATGTGGTAGTGTTTCTTGTATATCCCTGTGTGTGTTCAGTACCATGTGGTAGTGCTTCTTGTATATCCCTGTGTGTGTTCAGTACCATGTGGTAGTGCTTCTTGTATATCCCTGTGTGTGTTCAGTACCATGTGGTAGTGTTTCTTGTATATCCCTGTGTGTGTTCAGTACCATGTGGTAGTGCTTCTTGTATATCCCTGTGTGTGTGTTCAGTACCATGTGGTAGTGCTTCTTGTATATCCCTGTGTGTGTGTTCAGTACCATGTGGTAGTGTTTCTTGTATATCCCTGTGTGTGTTCAGTACCATGTGGTAGTGTTTCTTGTATATCCCTGTGTGTGTTCAGTACCATGTGGTAGTGTTTCTTGTATATCCCTGTGTGTGTTCAGTACCATGTGGTAGTGTTTCTTGTATATCCCTGTGTGTGTTCAGTACCATGTGGTAGTGCTTCTTGTATATCCCTGTGTGTGTTCAGTACCATGTGGTAGTGCTTCTTGTATATCCCTGTGTGTGTGTTCAGTACCATGTGGTAGTGTTTCTTGTATATCCCTGTGTGTGTTCAGTACCATGTGGTAGTGTTTCTTGTATATCCCTGTGTGTGTTCAGTACCATGTGGTAGTGTTTCTTGTATATCCCTGTGTGTGTTCAGTACCATGTGGTAGTGCTTCTTGTATATCCCTGTGTGTGTGTTCAGTACCATGTGGTAGTGCTTCTTGGTGAGCATGAGGATCCCCCCCACGTATGTTTTGTAGTGATACAGGGGGTGCAGCTCGGGCGACGCCACGTGGAACGGCCCCTCGGAGGGGAACCCGTAATCCAGAGCCTCGTTCAGCGGCAGCAGGTCGACGTCGTGCATCGCCAGGTAATCTGTGTCGTTGCCGCTCTCCAGGAAGCCCACGTTGATCAGGGACGCTCGGTTAAACCTGGAGCAAGAACACAACGTCTCATGCAACTCTCTTTGAAATCCAGGCTGAAGACTTTTCTTTTTACCGCTGCTTATAATGAAACTACTCATATCTCACACTGCACCTTCTGTTCATGTATTTCATACCAGTGTTGTTAGGGTTATGTTTATTTTACTCTCTTGCTTTTAATGTGTCAGAACTTTCGTCAATTAAACAAAGGCAAAACCGAGGTAATTGTTTTTGGACGAACGGATAAAGGTCAGCGATGAGCTTCAGTCAGCAATGTTCAAAACAGATCTACTGACTGACCTGAAATACACATGCAGATATTACACCACTGGGATTTTAGATTTTTACACATTTCTTTGGATATTGTCTGAGATTAAAGGGGCGGCTATGGCGCAGTGGGTTAGTGCGCTGATCTTCAGACAGACAGTCCACATGCCTTTGTGTCTTCTGGCAGGACCCCTAAACTACTCCTGTGTCGACCCGGGGGTAAATTGGTAGATTTATGAGATATTATTGATCATTTAATGAATAATTTCCTGTAAAACGAAAGCGTCCCCTCACCTGTAGCGGTGACACTAACGCGTCCCCTCACCTGTAGCGGTGACACTAACGCGTCCCCTCACCTGTAGCGGTGACACTAACGCGTCCCCTCACCTGTAGCGGTGACACTAACGCGTCCCCTCACCTGTAGCGGTGACACTAACGCGTCCCCTCACCTGTAGCGGTGACCACTAACGCGTCCCTCACCTGTAGCGGTGACACTAACGCGTCCCCCTCACCTGTAGCGGTGACACTAACGCGTCCCCTCACCTTGGTAAGCGGTGACACTAACGCGTCCCCTCACCTGTAGCGGTGACACTAACGCGTCCCCTCACCTGTAGCGGTGACACTAACGCGTCCCCTCACCTGTAGCGGTGACACTAAAGCGTCCCCTCACCTGTAGCGGTGACACTAACGCGTCCCCTCACCTGTAGCGGTGACACTAAAGCGTCCCCTCACCTGTAGCGGTGACACTAACGCGTCCCCTCACCTGTAGCGGTGACACTAACGCGTCCCCTCACCTGTAGTGGTGACACTAACGCGTCCCCTCACCTGTAGTGGTGACACTAAAGCGTCCCCTCACCTGTAGTGGTGACACTAAAGCGTCCCCTCACCTGTAGTGGTGACACTAACGCGTCCCCTCACCTGTAGTGGTGACACTAACGCGTCCCCTCACCTGTAGTGGTGACACTAACGCGTCCCCTCACCTGTAGTGGTGACACTAAAGCGTCCCTCACCTGTAGTGGTGACACTAACGCGTCCCCTCACCTGTAGTGGTGACACTAACGCGTCCCCTCACCTGTAAGTGGTGACACTAACGCGTCCCCTCACCTGTATGTGACACTAACGCCGTGGTGACACTAACGCGTCCCCTCACCTGTAGTGGTGACCTAAAGCGTCCCCTCACCTGTAGTGGTGACACTAAGCGTCCCCTCACCTGTAGTGGTGACACTAACGCGTCCCCTCACCTGTAGTGGTGACACTAACGCGTCCCTCACCTGTAGTGGTGACACTAACGCGTCCCCCTCCACCTGTAGTGGTGACACTAACGCGTCCCCTCACCTGTAGTGGTGACACTAACGCGTCCCCTCACCTGTAGTGGGTGACACTAACGCGTCCCCTCACCTGTAGTGGTGACACTAACGCGTCCCCTCACCTGTAGTGGTGACACTAACGCGTCCCCTCACCTGTAGTGGTGGACACTAAACGCGTCCCCTCACCTGTAGTGGTGGCACTAAAGCGTCCCCTCACCTGTAGTGGGTGACACTAACGCGTCCCCTCACCTGTAGTGGTGACACTACGCGTCCCCTCACCTGTAGTGGTGACACTAACGCGTCCCCCTCACCTGTAGTGGGTGACACTAACGCGTCCCCTCACCTGTAGTGGTGACACTAAAGCGTCCCCTCACCTGTAGTGGTGACACTAAAGCGTCCCCTCACCTGTAGTGGTGACACTAACGCGTCCCCTCACCTGTAGTGGTGACACTAACGCGTCCCCTCACCTGTAGTGGTGACACTAACGCGTCCCCTCACCTGTAGTGGTGACACTAACGCGTCCCCTCACCTGTAGTGGTGACACTAACGCGTCCCCTCACCTGTAGTGGTGACACTAAAGCGTCCCCTCACCTGTAGTGGTGACACTAACGCGTCCCCTCACCTGTAGTGGTGACACTAACGCGTCCCCTCACCTGTAGTGGTGACACTAACGCGTCCCCTCACCTGTAGTGGTGACACTAACGCGTCCCCTCACCTGTAGTGGTGACACTAACGCGTCCCCTCACCTGTAGTGGTGACACTAACGCGTCCCCTCACCTGTAGTGGTGACACTAACGCGTCCCCTCACCTGTAGTGGTCCACCTGGTTGATGACGAGGATCTTATGGCGGATCTTCTTCTTGTTCAGGAAGTCGTGCATGAAGGGCACGAACACCAGCAGCTCGTCGAAGCGCTCCCTGAAAGGCACGATGAGGGCCAGCTTGTGAGGACCCCACGAGGGGTCGTCGTCTGCCTGCCTGTTGGTGGGGGGACAGGGGGGCTGTGGGGGGGGGCGGCGCTCCTCGTGCAGCAGGGAGGACATTTCCCCCGAACAGCTGAGCTGGAGCCAGAGCAGAGAGACGAGCAGCAGCACCATGCACAGCCCGAACAGCTTGTAGACCGTACATTTACCGGAGAGGAACCTGCAGCAGACGGGGAGGAAACAGAAGTATTATTATTATTATATAAGTGTCTTTAGGTACCGCGAAAATAGCTCTTAATAAAATGTATTATTATTATTACAATTATTATTATTATTATTAAATGCAGGGCAGCATTTTTTTGTTACGAAAAATGTTATTTCATAAAATGTTTGTTAAATAAATGCAACAAACTCAGTTCAGTGCAGAGGTTCAGAAAAACAAAGAAACTCAAAAAAATAAACACAAACTGAAAGAAACTTTATTTCAACTCATGTTTGTTTGAATATATTTTAATCATTTTAAGGAAATGATTTAATATGCAGAAAAGCTTTTTTTTTTAAACAATTTTAATACAGCCTACATTAAATCGATGTTTTGTTAAATAAATGCAAAAAACTCGGAGCAATATCACTTGGTAAAACCAACATGCATGAAAGTGAGGCAGGTTAGTTCAGAAACACACTGACATGCATCGAGAGATAAAGAGGGGGTTAATCTGATTTGTTTCCTATGGCTTTTATTTTAAATGCAGAATCATATTTTCTCATATTTCAACACTTTTTATTTTTAAAAACCTGGTAAATACATATGTCGTGTTTTAATTAAGGTTAATATTCTTTTTGCATTGTCACTTTTTAGGAGTCAAATTCAAATGTTCCCTCACTTTCGAGGTACCCTAACCTACATTTTAAAAAGCCTTTATTTTTTATTTAGCCTTTATTTATACAGGTGTAAAATATTATTTATCATCAAATCTAAAAACATTTCATTAAATACAAAATGCAGAAAATAACGTTCACAGAATTCTTTATAGCCATATATATATATCATCAATGAACTTTGATTAACTCGATTGTTTATGGTTGTGATATTTTATTTTATTTATATTTAATTTATGATATTTTCCACATTCAAATTTAGAATTTTCTTAATAATTAAAAGTTGCAATATTATGCTTTTAGATAATCATCAGTGTCATGAAACGATATATAATCCAACACTTTACCTCTGTTTCTACTTGTGCTAAAAGATTGAGTCTTCAGGCTCTCACCAACACATTGAGCTATCCTGAGAAATCTTATTACGATAAAATACATTTAAAAAAATCAGAGACTAGTTTGGGAACATAGCGGAGTATTTAGCAGCCTAAGTGTATTTAGACTTCTATAAAAATGTAACACAGAAATCTCTATTATTTGTAGTGATTTTTATCAACGCCATGCAATAATGATGCACAGTCTCTACTCACTTATCTGGTGGATGAGCGAGTTTAGAGATCTCATTTCTTTAAAAAAGGTCAAGAAAAATTGTTTTTTACTGCTTAATAACGTAATAATACTTCCTTTCTTCTCTTTAACGCTTGTTTTGTACTGAAGAGGCGCTTTCACACCAAGTACTTTTCCCAGGAAGAGTTCCCGGAACTTAATTCCCCTGAACTCTTTAGTTCCTGAACTATCTAGCAGATCACGTTCACACCTGAATAAGTCGCTGAGGGAGGATTAGGAAAATGAAGCCGCTGACGTCACTTCTTCTTCTTCTGCTTTGGGTTTACTGGCAGGCCGCAAACCACTTCACGGCGTATACTGCCACCCGAAGTCCCAGGTAAATCGCCAGAAGCACCGACACCTCCTCATCACTCCACCGCTCCCATGTTTTATTTTGTGTTGCCATAAGTTAGTCTCTCTCCGTTGGTGCGCTGGGCTAATGCTAATAATGCTAATGCGAGCACATCAAATGGCGGCTTCACAAACATTTTCTGAGTTTTACGGGGCGTGGTTTGCAATTCGCCCAGCCAATCAGAAATTGGTACCTTTTCCTCCCCAGGAAAGTACCACCTCTCTAGCAGAGACTAAAAAGGGGTGAAAAGGTTGCCGAAAAAGTTCTAGTTGCAGATCTTTTTGGTGTGAACGCAAAATCCCAGGAACTATCGGAACTATTCCTGGGAAAAGTACTCCGGTGTGAAAGCGCCTAAGAACTATTCGAAAAGGTTCGTCTACAGCATTATATTTGCTTGATTCTTAAGTTAGTTTGCAGATACTGAATATTAAAACAAATAAATATATTTAAAAATATTAATGTGGATATGGTGTAGAAGCTATTGGTGTATTAGCCTAAAATCAATATTATACTAAACTAAATTAATAATAATAAATAAATGTACACGAAGAAGTAACCATTGTGAAGCAGCTATGGGTGTCATTAATATCACCTTAAAACATTAAGAATATATACAAATATTTAGCAAAAAAACACTAAATATCATTATAAAAATACAACTAAAAATTACAAGAAAATGAATAATAAATATGAAAATAACAAAAAATAAGTAATGAATATAATATGTAAAAATTGTAAAAAAGGAGAGAATGGTGTAGCAACTATGGCTGAGATTAATATCACCTTAAAACATTTAATACATATATAAATATGTAGTCAAAATACAACAGAAAATAATGAAATATAAATAATATATATAATTAAAAACAAAAACAAAAATGAATAAATGTAAAATCAAAGAATTGATAATATTGATAATAAAAACAATATCCCTCTTACCTCCTCTCCTCTTTGAAGTAGAGGACAGGCTTTCTTTTGGATGAGTACATCATTTTAAAACCCAGATTTCCGTCGAGATAAAAAAAACTCTTCAAAATCAAAAAGGGAAAAGTAGTTTTTCACATTAATGCTTCATCTTTTTTCACATTGTCTTCCATTCTAACTTTCTGCTAACTCCACCCAAACCCCCCCGGCACGTTACAGCTGGAAAACATTTGCTTATTTAAGTCAAAATAAGAAAAGAATCCATGTTTTTTAAAACCAGTGCTCTGGCCTCCATGTTGTTATTACTGTACACGTAGCATGTAGCGGTTCTCACGCTCCAAAGCTCCGGGTTCAAATGTCTCCCCGTTTTTTGGTCCGCTTTGTCCGCCACCGAGTGTCCGTTAACGATTGATTTAAGAAGTGCATGTAATGACACGCACACGGAACCGGTAGAGATAAAATCTAACGGTAATTTCACGGAAAGATATCAAACAGAAAGCCGATTGTAGTGATGTCCTAGTTGCATTTGAGTCCGTGTGGCAACAGCGGCAGTGAGAAGTAAAGGTTCCTACCCGTTTTTTAACATGTAACATCACTGTTGAATACTTTTACTCAAGTACTGTACTTAAAAACTGTATTTAGCAGAGGTGGGGGACTCGATAATTGATAAAAGACTCGACTTGACTTGGTAATCATGACTTGAGACTTGATATAGGCTTTAGACAGATGACTCGAAACTTGGACTTTACTTTAAAACTGTACCTGGAAGTTATTGACGAAATATGCTAATTTCCCCATCAAAATATTAATATAAAATATGTGGAGTATTAAAATGCAATAAAAAGAGGTTTGTCGTCCTATGCAGCAAGTGTAGTGATTTGACCCATCACTGATGTTGAGTCATTACTGTAGGTCACATGACCTGAATAAATATTTTCATTTTCCCATAACAAATATGAATATAAAAGATGTAAGTCGCTTTGGATAAAAGCGTCTAACATGTAACATGTAATGTACAGTATTAAAATGATGTGTGTGCGTGTGTGTGTGTGTGTGTTTGTGTGATCATGTGTGTGGGAAAGGCTGTTTTACAGGGACATCTAGAGGAGATTACATGTCATTACATCTACAGGTTCTCAATGATAGCCCTGTTTATTATTACAATGGAAGAAAAATACAGAAGAAGTAGGAATCTGAATTTATAAAACATTGCATTCATATTTTTTTAATTTATAAAAGACGTCACAGCGTAAGACATGCCTATGTCACGTGACCTGGGTCATGTGACAGCCCGGTGTGATGGTAAACTAAACACGGAAGTGTGTGTACTTCAGAGCATACATCCATGCTTCAGAGTCGCTCCTGTTACCGGGCAGATTAGTTGTTTCTCCTCGGGTTGTGTCGCTGTCTCAGAGAAGAACATCATGGACAAAGTTTTGTTTCTCACTTTAAGCCTGGTTTTAGTTTTAACTCAGGTAAACTACAGCTCCTCCAGTCCGAGGAGAATCAGCAAGGCTCAGGTGAGATTTACTCATATTAATACTGGAATTATAATACTATAATACTACTTAATCCATTGTAATACTGCTAATAATACCATACTACTGCTAACATAATACTGCTAATAATACCATAGTACTGCTAACCTAATACTGCTAATAATACCATAGTACTGCTAACATAATACTGCTAATAATACCATACTACTGCTAACATAATACTGCTAATAATACCATAGTACTGCTAACATAATACTGCTAATAATACCATACTACTGCTAACATAATGCTGCTAATAATACCATAGTACTGCTAACATAATACTGCTAATAATACCATACTACTGCTAACATAATACTGCTAATAATACCATAGTACTGCTAACATAATACTGCTAATAATACCATAGTACTGCTAACATAATACTGCTAATAATACCATAGTACTGCTAACATAATACTGCTAATAATACCATAGTACTGCTAACCTAATACTGCTAATAATACCATAGTACTGCTAACATAATACTGCTAATAATACCATAGTACTGCTAACATAATACTGCTAATAATACCATAGTACTGCTAACATAATACTGCTAATAATACCATAGTACTGCTAACATAATACTGCTAATAATACCATACTACTGCTAACATAATACTGCTAATAATACCATAGTACTGCTAACATAATACTGCTAATAATACCATAGTACTGCTAATAATACCATAGTACTGCTAACATAATACTGCTAATAATACCATAGTACTGCTAACATAATACTGCTAATAATACCATAGTACTGCTAACATAATACTGCTAATAATACCATAGTACTTCTAACCTAATACTGCTAATAATACCATAGTACTGCTAACCTAATACTGCTAATAATACCATAGTACTGCTAAAATTACCATTGTAATGCTAATAATACCGCAGTACTGCAAATTCTACTATAATACTACCAATACCAACTTGCTAATAAAACCTTAATACAGGGAACAATACCATACTTCTACTAATACAAGGCCACAATAGTAATGCTAATGATACAATAATACTGTTAATACTACCATACAACTGCTAATAATGACATTATCCTCTGTCCAGGCATCTTTAGGCTCCACTCACATGTAATCTTTAACCTGACGTATGAATGTAAACATTAGTTATCTATGTACTGATGATTGACTTAAAGAAATACATGGCTTATCTAAAGGGAACAAGGTTCTTCAGTCACCTTTAAACTGTGTTCTTTCACTATACCATATAGCTTTTATATTATATTAGACTGTATATATCGTTTATTCTACTATATCATCTCCAATTTTACCTGTATTTGTACTGCTTCTACACCTACATCTCCCTTCTTGGTATGTCTTATCTGATCCTAAAGGAACATGATAAATGATGAATCGACCTCTCATTGATTGATCAATCACTTATTTTCATTCACAAGACATAATGTGATCAATAACTAACAGAGGTCCTTGTTTTGACCATGCTATCAATCTCAAATAAACAAATATATAACCTTGTTAACACAAGGCATGATCAATAAAACATTTTGAAAAGCTATGAACAGAGTTTGGAAATGTCTCCTTTCACCGTGGAGAAAAACAAACATGAGGATAACGTCACTCAGGTTTCATGTCCAGGCAGGTCGATGTTGATATAGTATGTAAATAAACCGGTCTGCCAGGGAGAAAAAACTCGTGCAAAAATGTAAAACACACGGCTACTGTAAAACCGGCTCGGTCTTTGATTTGTAGTAAACATGCACATAAATGAGTAAAGGCTGTTTTTTGTTTCAGCATCAGGTCAAAAACCACCAGAATGAGGCGACAGTTAAACACCTGAGCTTTCAGAGAACATCCATACAAATCAATCCGTTAGCATTTAGCTAATTATCTATTATCAATACATTCTCTTGCACTATGTTTATTGTTTTATTTTTTGTTTGTTTTGTTTTAATTTATTTATTGCAGATTTATCAGACAATACAACCATTGTTCACATTTCCTGTTTTTGGTTTTCTTATTACAGGAAATGTCTCTACTCTTTTGTTACATATAATAAAACAAACAGAATCCTCCCACCTTCACAAGAGCTGGAAAGTTGGTCACGCGTCCACGTCCTGATACATGTCACATGCATCAGGACGCGTCCACGTCCTGATACATGTGACATGATAAAGACGCGTCCACGTCCTGATACATGTCACATGATAAAGACGCGTCCACGTCCTGATACATGTGACATGATAAAGACGCGTCCACGTCCTGATACATGTGACATGATAAAGACGCGTCCACGTCCTGATACATGTGACATGATAAAGACGCGTCCACGTCCTGATACATGTGACATGATCAAGACGCGTCCACGTCTTGATACATGTGACATGTATCAAGACGCGTCCACGTCCTGATACATGTGACATGATAAAGACGCGTCCACGTCCTGATACATGTGACATGCATCAGGACGCGTCCACGTCCTGATGCATGTGACATGATAAAGACGCGTCCACGTCCTGATACATGTGACATGATAAAGACGCGTCCACGTCCTGATACATGTCACATGATAAAGACGCGTCCACGTCCTGATACATGTCACATGATAAAGACGCGTCCACGTCCTGATACATGTGACATGATAAAGACGCGTCCACGTCCTGATACATGTGACATGATAAAGACGCGTCCACGTCCTGATACATGTGACATGCATCAGGACGCGTCCACGTCCTGATGCATGTGACATGATAAAGACGCGTCCACGTCCTGATACATGTGACATGATAAAGACGCGTCCACGTCCTGATACATGTCACATGATAAAGACGCGTCCACGTCCTGATACATGTGACATGATAAAGACGCGTCCACGTCCTGATACATGTGACATGATAAAGACGCGTCCACGTCCTGATACATGTCACATGATAAAGACGCGTCCACGTCCTGATACATGTGACATGATAAAGACGCGTCCACGTCCTGATACATGTCACATGATAAAGACGCGTCCACGTCCTGATACATGTGACATGCATCAGGACGTGGACGCGTCCTGATACATGTCACATGATAAAGACGTGGACGCGTCCTGATACATGTGACATGATAAAGACGCGTCCACGTCCTGATACATGTCACATGATAAAGACGCGTCCACGTCCTGATACATGTCACATGATAAAGACGCGTCCACGTCCTGATACATGTCACATGATAAAGACGCGTCCACGTCCTGATACATGTCACATGATAAAGACGCGTCCACGTCCTGATACATGTGACATGCATCAGGACGTGGATGCGTCCTGATGCATGTCACATGATAAAGATGCGTCCACGTCCTGATGCATGTCACATGATCAAGAGCAAAGAGCACCAACAATTAATACAACAATTCAACATTAATTAAAAACACACACACAAAAAGAAAAGATAAAATACAAAATACATTTAAAAAAAGCATAACTAGAGGGGGGACATATAGACTTAGTCAGGGGGTAGGACTTTCAGTGAATTAAAATATGATAAAAAGTGCGTTTTATTTGTTTTACGTCCTATATATATTCATGTTGGCTTGTTGGAGGAGCCTGTGACTTCAGTTTCTCATTGTCATATCTACACTGTGACAATGAAACCTTGAAACTTGAATAATTGTGCATGTGTTTGTTCAGGTTATGGGTTTCGACTGGAAGAACTGCGGGCAGCCCGATGCTCCAGCGGTTCTGAAGACGCTGAAGGTGTCTCCGGACCCGATCTCCATCCCCGGAGAAATGACCGCTTCGGCCTCTGGATCCACATCTGTGGAGCTCGCTGCCCCGCTTTCTGTGAGTACACTCACTCTGAGCTTATACAAAACACCACACCATACTGTTAGAAGAGTATCACTCGTCAAGCTTGAGCTTCAATCTCAGGATCCATGTATCTGTGATCCTCTCCAGAATGGAAGTAGTCATCACATACAGAGCATCAACTAGTTCCTGAACAGTGTCCTTCACATGCTGATATCCAAGAGAGGGAGTTACACAGTCACAAGATGGAGGAATAGAAAGCAGTACATCCTGTCACGTACAAAATTCTCAACATTCTGACTTTTTCTCAAAATCCTGACTTTTTCCTCAAAATCTCAAAATCCTGACTTTTTCTCAAAATCCCCAAAAATCTGACTTTTTCAAAAAAATCTGACTTTTTCTGACTTTTTCAAAAAAAACTGACTTTTTCTAAAAAAATTGACTTTTTCAAAAAAATTGACTTTTTCTCAAAAATCTGACTTTTTCTCAAAAATCTGACTTTTTCTCAAAAATAAAAAAAATCTGACTTTTTCTCAAAATTCTGACTTTTTCTGAATACTTAAAAATGTTAATAATCACTGGTCCCCGGCTTGAGCTTCAACCTCAGGATCCATGTATCTGTGATCCTCTCCAGAATGGAAGTAGTCATCACATACAGAGCATCAACTAGTTCCTGAACAGTGTCCTTCACATGCTGATATCCAAGAGAGGGAGTTACACAGTCACAAGATGGAGGAATAGAAAGTAGTATTCAATGTTTACTTCAGATTAGCTCCACGTCAGAAATGAGCATGCTTGTCATATGTCTATCTCCATAGAGGCTGAATCATCATGTTAATCACATAGCTATCATATGCCTCAAACAGTCCTGATGCTCTTCTAGGTAATCATACATCCTGTCATGTTCACAGCTACAGTTGGGATACCTTTGTTAGCATGTTGCTCTCATGTTGGAAGAGGACGCTCAGTGTTTTCCCAACAGAATCGATATTACTTTAATGGTCAGATCAAGTCTGAAATTGGACTTGCATCTGTTCCAACCCGGCTCTTGGGGTTGTGTATTTTTGTGGTGGTTTCTCTTGGTCATCACTTTGTAGGTAATTGGTGTCTTTTGTAGTCATTTGTGAGTCTCTATGTAGTTGATTTTTGTATATTGTTTTTTTTTGTGTGTAACTTTACGATTGTCTAGTCCTTTTTTATATGTGTCAGACTTTTCATAATCAGTTTGTGTCTATTTGATGTAGCTATAAACTAACTGTCCATCGCCAGTGACTGACCCTGAGCTGTGTGTGAAGTGTTTAAGAGGAGCACACACACACACACACACACACACACACACACACACACACACACACACACACACACACACACACTGTATCCTCTCTTAAAGAGTGTGGTATTTGTCTTCTTCCACTCTGATCCTTATCTGGATACATGTGGTTCAGCAGATCAGCGACATCCTGCTTTTACCACACACACACACACACACACACACACACACACACACACACACACACACACACACACACACACACACACACGCACTTGCAGGAGCTTTCAGCGAGGCTTCAAGTCAAACAAAAGGTGGATTTACTGTCAACTGCACCGCTAATGGCTGCTAATGGGGTCACATACACACACACACACACACACACACACACACACACACACACACACTCACACACACTCACACACACACACACACAGATCGTGTTTGCTTCCTGTTCTCAGTGTGAGGTTTCTCTTCCTCATGAGGCTGTATTTTGGTAACCACAAAATGATGTCCTGTTTTCGTGCGACTTTCTCAAAGCCTAGTTCCTCTTTATTGTTCTTTATTTGACTTTTGAAAATGTTTATCACACCTTGTTAAACTATGCAAGGGTAAAAGATCATCTTTTGTTTTCTCCATAAACATCACATGTGATACTGATTCTCATTTTATTGAATTGTTTTATTTTTAACGCATGGTGTTTTTAGTTTTTCAGCAACATTGTTTAATCTCACCTGATAATGTCTCTCTCCTCCTTTCTTCCAGACTTACCTTTTGTTAGCTTATTTCATCTTATTTTCTTTTATCTTTCTTTAAAGGGGACCTATCATGCAAAATGCACTTTTGTACGTCTTTTCTACATGAATATGTGTCCCCGGTGTTCCAGGGAACTCACCAAGTGTCAGAAAACACAACCCTCTCTATTTTCCTCCATACCCAAATCTCTAAAAAAGGGGCTGCAACGGATCTGATAAAAACTGATCCAGATTTGAACACTGTCCTGACGTCAGGACGGTGGCGCTACGGCTATTGGGCCAACTCTCCACCTATCAGGGGAATGTGGGGTTGGGCCACGGCCGGCCATTGCCGCTCGAAAGCGCTGGAGACGCTGTAGTACATATGCCAGGCCTGTAAGTGGCGCTGTAGTCTGCCACAAAAGCAGCGAAGAAGACTTCCCGCCCATAGTTACCATGGTTACCCTTCTGTTTATTCTCCGCTGTGGCTTTCTTTCTCCCTCCCCGAGGCAAGCGTTTGCTCCCGCTGCTTTAATTCAATGCAATCCCTCCCCGTCGAGGCAAGCACTGTAATTCTCTCCGGTTAGTCCACCAGCAGATGACAAACACCCACCTCTCCGCCTCTTCCAAGGAACGAGGGGACCGTGCGGCAGAGTTTCAGTTTCAGTTTCTTTCGCCGGTCAAGATGTCCGTTAAAGTTTAAATCTTCAGGACAAAATTAGAAAAGTGCCGGTCAAAGGTCTTCTTTGTTATTTATTGAGCTTTAAAACAAATGAATAACGACTCTATATAATAAAACACGGAGGACGGAGATCTCTTTTTCTCCCCCTCTTCTGACAGCCCAGCAGCTGATCAGAGCACGCCTCCCCTCTCCTGCAGGGGGGCGTGGTCAGCAGAATCAGACCCGTAGACAGCAAACAGCACATAGAGCGAAATGAGGCATGGCTAAAATGCATGATCTCTTTGGTATTTTGAAAACAGAGACGTATAAATATACCTTATATAGGTATGGCCCTACAATATATCATTTACATATAGCATGATAGGTTTCCTTTAAGGTAAAGTCTATTATATTAGCCTTTTTTTTTTAATTACCTGGCTTTTTATTCAGTCTTACGTGTGTGCACATTTAAAAAAAATCATATATAAGGGATCTTTTAGACAGATTGACTAACTATAGTTGCAAATACTGGCTAGGGATAGTGACAACACACACACACACACATACACACACACACACACACACACACACACACACACACACACACACACACACACACACACACACACACACACACACACTGTATCCGCTCTTGAAGAGTGTGGTATTTGTCTTCTTCCACTCTGATCCTTATCTGGATACATGTGGTTCAGCAGATCAGCGACATCCTGCTTTTACCACACACACAAACACACATCCACACACACACACACACACACACACACACACACACACACACACACACACACTTGCAAAATATTGTTTATCCTTCTCTAAAAAACGTTTTTGACATTCCCCGTCTCTTTCCTTAGGTATTATTGAAGTAGAATGATAAGAAATACTTATTAATCCATCATTAAAGTTCACCTATTATGCAAAATCCACTTTGGATTCCCCTCTGTGGAAAGAGACTCTGAAAGTTTCAGGAACAAAGATTCTCTCTCTTTTTGATCCATTTTTATAAAAACCTGTCTGAAAATAAGCTGATCAGATTTTGGCCACTTGATGATGTCATAACGATGTTTTGTCTTGTGTAACCATTAGCCAATCACCAACCAAGGTAACCCCCCCCCCCCCCACCTTATCACCTGAATCTCCTCCTAGAGCACCATTGAGTTCTTTGTAACCAAATGTCTCTCAGAGGGGCGTGGGGAGGGGCTCCTTATTTTCATCTGAAGTAACAGACAGAGAATCAGCACTTTGGAAACAGGGCTGAAACAGAGGGGATTATGGGTAATGCTGCAATGATCTGTTTGGTGTTTGGAGCCAAACACTTCAGAGACATGTTTTATATCTGAGACCTATAATATATTGATGAAAAACAGTATAATACCTTTAAAGCTGTTTATAGCACTTCAAAATGTCTATTTCTGACCTGAGGTTGCAGAGAGTTGCATGAAGAAGCTCACTCTCTCCTCCTCCTCTCCTCCTCTCCTCCTCTCCTCCTCTCCTCCTCTCCTCCTCTCCTCCTCTCCTCTCAGGTGAACGTGACTCTGGAGAAGGAGGTGGCAGGTTTCTGGGTGAAGGTTCCCTGTCTGGAGCAGATGGGCAGCTGTCACTATAAAGACGCCTGTGACATCCTGAGCCAGCTGATCCCCCCCGGACAGGACTGCCCCGAGCCGCTGCGCACCTACGGGCTGCCCTGCCACTGCCCCTTCAAAGCTGTGAGTGCTTTCTGTTAGTCAGTCTGATACTTCAAGATGCAAGGCTTTTATTGTCATGTGTGCATAGCTACCGTGTAGTTATGTCAATGAAGATCTTAGGTCACACGCTCCTCCAACGGTGCAACACAATAAAACAGATAGAATAGTGCAAGTAAATACAATAAAATAGAATATAATAGAAACAGAATATGATAGAAACTGTGCAGAATAGTCTATATACAGTAATTGGAATATTGATATATATGATATATCTTATCGAATCACTACAGAAACGGGGTCACATGACTTCACGTCACCACCGCTAAGCTAAAGGTGGCTAATGTTGGGCTATAAAGGAACTACAGCACGGTCACATGACTTCACGTCTCCACCGCTAAGCTAAAGGAGGCTAATGTTGGGCTATAAAGGAACTACAGCACGGTCACATGACTTCACGTCACCACCGCTAAGCTAAAGGTGGCTAATGTTGGGCTATAAAGGAACTACAGCACAGTCACATGACTTCACGTCTCCACCGCTGCCCTGCCACTGCCCCTTCAAAGCTGTGAGTGCTAATGTGGATACAGTTTCAAAAATGATACAATAATTTGTAGGTGTCCTATCATGCAAAATGCACTTTTTGATGTCTTTTATACATAAATACGTGTCCCCGGTGTGTCAGGAAACTCACAAAGTGTCAGAAAATAAAACCCTCTCTCTTTTCCTCCGTACCAAATCTCTAAAAACGGGGCTACAGCGGAGTGGATCCAGATTTGCGTCCGATATGACGTAATATCAGAAATGCAGACCCACGGCCCTATCAGAAACGTTGCTATCAGAAACGTTGCTATCAGAAACGTTGCTATCAGAAACCTTGCTATCAGAAACAATGCGCGACGCATTTTGGACGTAATATGGTCTTTGTTTACATTAGCATGCAGCGCTAACACGCAGAGCTAACCTGTACTGGAGAGAGTATGTGTTAAGGCCCTGACACACCAAACTGACACCAAAGAACACGTCCCGACGGACCCGACTGTTGTGTCGCCTCACGTCTCTGCGTCTTGGCCAACAGTCGCACTGGAACCGCAAAGACTTCAGCCGACGGCCAAGTAGCACGTACGAACTGCGCATGCGTGAGTGGCAATAACTCTCCTTACCAGCAGGCGGCGGTAGTGTGTATTCCTCATTCAAAAGAGGCAACAACCGGAAGACAGACTGCGTGATAACCGAGAGAAGAAGAACAGACTGCGTGATACACCGAGAGAAGAAGAACAGACTGCGTGATACACCGAGAGAAGAAGAACAGACTGCGTGATACACCGAGAGAAGAAGAACAGACTGCGTGATACACCGAGAGAAGAAGAACAGACTGCGTGATATAAACAAACAACAAATAGCGTCTGCGTTCCATGTTCACTCTGCAGCCAGAAGCTCACGGGGCTTTCCCCAACCTGTGTCGAGAGCTGGAGCTAAATGAAATCTCACATTTGCCTTCTTAATAGTTTGTTTGGGTCCCTCACTTCCGTTTCGCTTCTCATGCACTGATTCGCTAAGCTGAGCAGCCAATCAGAGTGATTTCTTTGGCCGACGGCCTTTAGCAGACAGCCTCCCGATTCAACATCAAATCGGCGGCGGAAGGTGTCGGCACGGCCGAAAAGACACGACGTGCGGGACACACCAATCTGAGTAGGGCGACAGGACGCTCATCGACGGCCAGACATCTATCGACGGCCGAAATGGGGTTGGTGTGTCCGGGCCTTAAAGAAGCAGGAAATAAAAAAAGGAACTCACCTTGTCGTAAACCCACAAGGAAAGAAGCATTTGAGCTCCATACTGTTTCAGAAATAATCAGAACTTCCACATCAGAGCTTTTGAGGACTTTGAGCCAAGTTATAATCCTGCCACTGCGATAGCTTCCAACTAAGCAAGATGCAGTCACAACACTTTAAATAGGTGTGCCTACTAACTTGCTCTTTTGTCTTTGTTTAGTTTCCTCTAAAGTGCCTTCATTTATCATTCGCTGATAATAATTGTGTTTAAAAAACATTTTAAACTTTTAATCGGGCTGTTTTGAAGACACAGATTATTGATCTGATATATCATATTCCAATTACTTGTATAAAGACTCTCCTTGCACTATTTCCATTCAATTTTAATTATTGTATCTGTGTTATTGTGTTGCTCTGTTGGAGGAGCCTGTGACCTCAGGTTGGTATTGATATATCTGCACCCTAACTATAGATGATAATAAAAGATTGGTATTGATATATCTACACCCTAACTATAGATGATAATAAAAGATTGGTATTGATATATCTACACCCTAACTATAGATGATAATAAAAGATTGGTATTGATATATCTACACCCTAGCTATAGATGATAATAAAAGATTGGTATTGATATATCTGCACCCTAACTATAGATGATAATAAAAGCCTTGACTCTTGACATTTGAGGGAGTGACACATCTGTCTCAGGCTGCATAAAGTATTTGCAGACATCCTCTGACGCTCTGCTCTGATACTCCCGGTCTGTCTCTCCTCAGGGCTCGTACTCTCTCCCTCAGTCGGACTTCACCCTCCCCACCATGGACCTCCCTTATTGGCTGAGCAACGGAAACTACCGGGTGCAGGGGGTTCTGGGAGCAGAAGGCAAGGAGCTGGGCTGCCTCAAACTGGCTCTGTCCCTCCACTCCGACTGAACCCAAAACTCACTTCTCAAATCTGACTTTTTTTCTCCGAGTTATGATAAAAAGTCGGAATTCTTAAAAAAGGCGGGAAGAATCTCAGCTAACTGAAGATATGAACCATTTTTACCAAAACAAAACACAAGTCTCATAAGAAGCGTCTAAATGACTCCTGAGCGAAAAGATTCTAACGCACTGCGGCACACAATTCAAGATAAAGATACCCTTATTACTTATCGTAGCTGCACATACAATATAGCCAATTAAAGCTGAGACTCCACTGATTATTTAGGTATAGTATCATCACTGAGCGATCCGAACTTGCGACAGGGGAAGCAAACACAGACATCACAACACGTACCTTTACGGAGCTTTTACGGCAGATCGTCTCACCGTAGCTGTCAATTAGGTCAAAAGACGTGTTCAATGGCATTAAAACGAAAAGTAAAATGTCTACAACTGTTGATCCATAGGTTGATAATGTACCTGTACCTTTTAAAAAATTATTTATAATCCATAATTCCATTTTTTATGTAAAGATCGGAGCGGAAAAATTAGCTGCTAATGGTAGCCACCAGAGTGTATGCAGCTTCCGGTTTTGGTAACGCGTCACTCTCACTTCTTATTTGTTAACGTTTTGGTGTGTATATAACTTTCCCTCGATTCCATTGGCTCTAGCGGTTATAAAGAGATTTCATTCATCAAAATCGAGCAAGGGGGGCCAGAGATAGGTCAAATCCACCCAAATGACCCCAGAAGTGGGGGTTTTTGGCTAAATCTCTCTAAAAGGTCAAATGTCACTTGTTTTGCATCAATCTTGATACAGGGTACTTATTATATGTTGTACTTTGGATTCTTAAAGCTTTTAGTCTACTAACCCATCATCCAAGGGTGGTTTTCAGTATAAGTAAAATATAATTTTTGGACGGACACTATAATTTACAGTTTTTTACTATGTAAAATCTGAATTTTCTTTAAAATAAAAAACATCTATATTGATTCTGACACTTCTACATCCAACTCACAGGTTTATCATTACTTTGAGAAAAAAGATTATTAATTTAACCCTTTTAGAAGGGAAGATATGGTCATTTGTTCTGGGAATGTCATTTTCGAGCCTGAGACCTGAAAAACAGGCTCAGAGCTTAAAAAAGGCAGAATTCTTAAAAAAGGCAGAAATCTGAGAAAACGATGGTTCTTTTTTTATTCAAAAAATTATTTTAAAAACACAGAATTCTGAAATAAATAGCCAAAATACTGAGAAAAAAATAATTTAAACATTTTTTAAATTTTGTTTTTGTTTCAGAATTCTGAGAGAAAGAAATATTCTGACTTTCTTTTTTTTATTCTGGAAAAAAGTCTAATTTCTGATTCTCTCGTGACGACAAAGAGGGAAATGAAACAGCAAAGTTTAATTTAAGATGAGAAGCATGTTGTTTAATTAACGGTGAAAGACCCCCTTTAAATGCATTGATGTCATTTCCTTCAATTCAACGTATTCAATATCAATATGAACAGTGACGGTCTGAGGAAACCAAGGTAACAGGATGCTGCATGAAAGGGAAGCTTTCCTCTAAATCCACTGACTGCAGCCTCCAAGAACAACATGGCAGCTATTCACGCAATAGTGTGTAAAATGTTTAAAAACATCTAATTTGGGAGGTATGGAATTCAGTTCTCTCCACTGTCTTATAGAAAGTGAGCTTCAATCAACCTTATGTCCTTTTTTGGAAATGCTAACACATGAATACATGTGGAAATCAACTTATAATTGACTATAAGCAATCTTTATTTCAAAACTAGCAATTTATGTTTGAACACCAATGGTAGAAGTCAAAAACAGACGGACATAATGCCTCAATTTTAAACCATTTCAATATTAAATGACCTTGTAGAGTCCTTTTTCTCCACTGATTGACTTTAAGGGCGTGTTTTTGTTAATTATTCCTACCGTTAGAAGATGGATCTAGGGTTGAGTCATTCCAATGTGCCAAATCACTATTTTAGTTTTCACAATTGTGTTTAGAAACATTGCAAGTTTATTTCTGTTCATCGGCAGAAAAAAGGTTTTGGTCAGATCAGATTTTTTTGTTGTGAAATTAGGATTCTGACAAAAGTCAGACTTTTTCAGATTTATGAGAAACATTTTTTTAAATGTTTTTAAAATAATAGTCAGAATTAAAAAAAATCTGACTTTTTCTCTGAATTTGGTAAAATAAACAGAATTTGAAAAAAAGTCTGGAATCTACGAAAATATAATTGTTGGGAAAATACTGAATGTTCCTTCTGTATCAGAGTAGCACATGATAACAGAGGCCCACGTAGCCGTGTACGTAGCAGGATGTCTGACTACATGGATGACGCTCATGAGACACTGTGTTGAAGTTATGATAGCTATGTTCCTCAGATTGGCATGATGACACAGCCCCTAGAGAGATAGGCATATGACTGTCATGTGTATTGCTTACGCAGGCCTTAGTTAATCTGAACTAATGTCAGAATACTGCTTTGAACCAGTGTTCCTCCATCTTGTTGACTGTAACACCCTCTCTTGTAGCATCTTGAAGGACACTGTTCGGGTACTATTTGTCCCATGCAGCTCTGTGTGTGATGACTACTTCCATTCTTCCAAGGATAATAAATACATGTATCCTGTTATCGAAGACCAAGCCGGTGAAAAGTGATATTTTTCTAACAATACGTTTTCAACTTTTTTCAAAAAAATCTGAATTCTGAAAAAAAAGCCAGAATACTGAGAAATCAATAATTCAAAGTTTTTTCTCGGAAATCGGAAAATAAAAAAATATCTGAATTCTGAAAAAAGTCTGAATTCTGAAAAAAGTCTGAATTCTGAAAAATATCTGAATTCTGAAAAAAGGGGGGAAATCTGAGAAAATACATAGTTTAGAGTTTTTTTTTTATTCCGGAAAAAAAGTCAGATTTCTGAAAATAACAATAGTTCGGACTTTATTCTCAAAACTCTGAACATTCTTACTTGCTGTTTCTTCTCAACTCCGTGCTTCCTGGTATACATTGATTGTGTATTCATGTTTTTATATGTTCAAATGGTTCTGTTTGAAAAAGGGTTTTTCAGAGACGATGAGTCAAAGCTCTGCTGGGAATTAATCATCTCAAGTTCATAGATTTAGTCAAACTGATAGTCGCTGATTTATAGAGTGATTTTATTTTATGTTGTTCTTCTATGTATGTTTGCTAAGTGCCTGATTAGATATAAAGGATACATCATTGTTTATCCAATGAATACAATATTTTACTGATACGAGTTATTAGTTTGATTTTAATGTTTGTTTTCTACCGTTTTGAAAAATGACAATGAATTATGTTTGTGAATGATTCCACTGTAAACATTTTCAAAATAAAAATAAATTCTTCCGACATTTACAAGCCCTTTATTAACACTCCTTCTTATTCTATTTAATAAACAATAATGAGGTACATTCCCTCATGGGAAGACGACGCATGATTAGACTTTTTGATTTTTTGAGCGAGTGTGTTTCCATCAACCTGGTCTCGTGACTCCACCACGACTCCTTAACACCGCAGTACGTGGTGGAGTCACGTATTCTGGTGAGACCATTGGTTTCCATCCATAGTGTGTCCAGCCATTTTAAAACAAGGATCCTAAATCCGCCAACAAGACTTTATTAGAACAGGGAAATGTTTAGTAGACTGTCTGACCTCGGTTTCAGTTTCAGACAAAACACACAAATCAAAGTGAAGAAAATACAGTCCAAATACTTCTGTTTTTCTAGTGCTTAAAAGGTCAAATGAACTACTTTAAATACATTATACTTTAAGTTATCCCAGTACTCCTGCTCCAACTACCATCAATGTTTACAAGTTTAATTCATTATATGATCAATATGTCATCATTTGAAGAAGCAGAGGTGGGAGAAGTACTCAGATCTGGTACTTGACTAAAAGTAGAAGTACTCAGATCTGGTACTTGAGTAAAAGTAGAAGTACTCAGATCTTGGACTTGAGTAAAAGTAAAAGTACTCAGGTCTTGTACTTGAGTAGAAGTAGAAGTACTCAGATCTTGTACTTGAGTAAAGTAGAAGTACTCAGATCTGGTACTTGAGTAAAAGTAGAAGTACTCAGATCTGGTACTTGAGTAAAAGTAGAAGTACTCAGATCTTGTACTTGAGTAAAAGTAGAAGTACTCAGATCTTGTACTTGAGTAAAGTAGAAGTACTCAGATCTTGTACTTGAGTAAAAGTAGAAGTACTCAGAATACTTGATCTGTACTTGAGTAAAAGTAGAAGTACTCAGATCTTGTACTTGAGTAAAGTAGAAGTACTCAGATCTTGTACTTGAGTAAAAGTAGAAGTACTCAGATCTTGTACTTGAGTAAAAGTAGAAGTACTCAGATCTGGTACTTGAGTAAAAGTAGAAAGTACTCAGATCTGTTACTTGAGTAAAAGTAGAAGTACTCAGATCTTGTACTTGAGTAAAGTAGAAGTACTCAGATCTGGTACTTGAGTAAAAGTAGAAGTACTCAGATCTTGTACTTGAGTAAAAGTAGAAGTACTCAGATCTTGTACTTGAGTAAAAGTAGAAGTACTCAGATCTGGTACTTGAGTAAAAGTAGAAGTACTCAGATCTTGTACTTGAGTAAAATTAGAAGTACTCAGATCTTGTACTTGAGTAAAAGTAGAAGTACTCAGATCTTGTACTTGAGTAAAATTAGAAGTACTCAGATCTTGTACTTGAGTAAAAGTAGAAGTACTCAGATCTTGTACTTGAGTAAAAGTAGAAGTACTCAGATCTTGTACTTGAGTAAAAGTAGAAGTACTCAGATCTTGTACTTGAGTAAAAGTAGAAGTACTCAGATCTTGTACTTGAGTAAAAGTAGAAGTACTCAGATCTTGTACTTGAGTAAAAGTAGAAGTACTCAGATCTTGTACTTGAGTAAAAGTAGAAGTACTCAGATCTTGTACTTGAGTAAAGTAGAAGTAAGATCTTGTACTTGAGTAAAAGTAGAAGTACTCAGATCTTGTACTTGAGTAAAAGTAGAAGTACTCAGATCTTGTACTTGAGTAAAAGTAGAAGTACTCAGATCTTGTACTTGAGTAAAAGTAGAAGTACTCAGATCTTGTACTTGAGTAAAAGTAGAAGTACTCAGATCTTGTACTTGAGTAAAAGTAGAAGTACTCAGGTCTTGTA